TGAGCCCAGAGCGCGGCCGGCCCAGGGACAGGGCTGCGCACCCACCCTGTCGTCTAGGGAAGCCACCCCAGTGCTTCATGACTCGTGGCAAGGGGTTTGTGTAACCCACAGGCCTGGCTGGAGCGCAGGGGGCTGCTCCGTAGGATGGAGGAGAGCAGCAGGGAGAAGGGGGTAGAGAGGTGCAGGGAAGGGGGGGGAGGGTTGCAGCAATGGAGGAGGGGAGAAGGGGCGGAGAGTGAAAGGGGGTAGGAGGATTAGGGAACAGGAGAAGAGGTGGGGTGCCGCGATAGGGGATGGAAGGGTGCCGCGATGGGGGAGGGGAGAAGGGTGCAGGGAAGGGTGGGGTGGGGTACAGCGATAGGGGAGGGGAGAAGGGTGCAGAGAAGGGTGGGGTACAGCGATGGGGGAGGGGAGAAGGGTGCAGGGAAGGGGGGAGAGGGGTACAGCAATGGGGAAGGGGAGAAGGGTGCAGAGAGGGGGAATGGAAGCGTACAGCGATGGGGGAGGGGAGGACCTCGCCCTGCCCTGGCAGTGTGGAGGTGCAGGAACGGTGGGTTTGTGGCAGGACGTAGGTGAACCTGGTGCTGCTCCTGGCTTTCCCGGCGCTTGTGAGGAGATGTTCCCCAAAGGGGCATAGTGCACATGGGTTGGGGGCCAGGACTCCTCGCAGCTTTGGTAGTGACTCAGTGCACCTGAGCCCCGTGCACTGTGCGGCTCTGCTCTGCGGAGCTCGGCATTGGTGTCTGTCTCCATTAGACCCTAACCCCGGCCAGGTGCCCCGTGGGGCAGTTCTCAAAGCTCTTTACAGACCAACTAATCCTGGATAACTAACTAACCTCCCACCTCCAGGGCAACAGCACTGTCCCCACTTTACAGAGGGAAACTGAGGCAGGGGGCTGGCCTGCCGCGGGCCAGGTCCATTGGTGTGTTGGGATCCCAACGCCAGGGCCTAGCTCCCAGCCCACCCCTCTCTTGAGGACACTGCTTCTCCGGGTGGCTGGCATTCTGCCCGCAGAGCCATTGCCCGCTGGGGCTGGTGATGGGGTACAGTAACCTGTGTCTCCTCTGGCTGGGTTGGGGGGAGAATTTCAGGGGGTGCCTGTGCAGATGATGGGTAAGGGGGGCAGGATGCTGGGGATCCACTCTCCCTCTTGGCTCCATGGTCAACTCAGTGCCTGGGGCTCACCAACATTCCCACCCATAGGGCTATGGTGTGTTGGAGACATTCACCCCCTTGCCTGGACTGAGAAACACCCAGCCCCCAAGGGGGAGAACTCCCTGTGCCAGCTGGGGCCCCATGTAACAGGGCTGCTGTGGGGTTAGCTCAGCCTTCCCTCCAATCCCCAGTGACTGGCCTCAGTCCCCTGCTCCCATTGCACCCCAAAAAGACACAGCACAGATGCAGTGCTCCCCCCAGTCCTCACCTCAAGGTAGGCCTTCCTGCGGCTTCTCTCTAGGCTGCTCTCCTTGTCCATGTCTCCTTGTCCAGGCAACGGCTCCAGGCAGCTGCCTGCTGCTAAAGCCAGAGAGAAATGATCTTAATAGCAGCTCTAATCAGCTCCTAATCCAGGCAGTCCCGGAGAGGGGGCAGGCAGGCCGGCAGTCGGAGCAGCCCTCTGAGCACATCCAACCCTCTGGGGATCCTGCCAGGGTGCTGGGGAACCGCAAACTCACATTAGCTTCCTGCCTGTAGTCACAGTATTGTCCTCAATTGCCCATCCCGTGTGTGATTGTAGGATTCCCCCCGGGCACTGGGCTCGCCCACACCTCGAACACTGTGTGCTGTTTTGACCACGCCATCTGAAAACAAAATATTAGAATGGGAGAAAGTACAGAGGGCAACAAAGTGATTGTGGGTATGGAACAGCTTCTATATGACAAGGGACTAAAAAGACGGGGACAGTTCAGCTTAGAAGAGAGACGACTAAGGGGGCATACGTCTATATAAGGGGGCAGAGGTCTATAAAATCATGACTGGTGTGGAGAAAGTAAATAAGGAAGTGTTATTTACTCCTTGGCAGAACACAAGAACCAGGGGTCACCCAATTAAATTAATACACAGCAGGTTTAAAACAAACAAAATGAAGTATTTTTTTCACACAATGCACAGTCAACCTGTGGAACTCCTTGCTAGGGGATGTTGTGAAGGCCAAAAGTATAACTGGGTTAAAAAAGAGCTAGGTAAGTTCATGGAGGCTATTAGTCACCAGGATGCAATCCCATGCTCTAAGTGTTCCTAGCCCAGTGGTCCCCAAACTGTGGGGCATGCTCCAAACATGGGGGGGGACACATGCTACAGGACCTGGGCCAGCCCCCAGAGAGGGTGGGGAAGGAAGCACCACCCAGCCCCTCTTTGCCCCAAGCCCGCTGCGTCTCTAGCTCTAGCTCCAGTACGCCGCCATCCCCAGTTCAGCCCCCCAGCTCCGCTGTCAGCCCAATGGGGCAGTAATGGGGAGCAGGGAGCAGATTCCATTCCTGCTGGGGGGATGTGACGGGAAACGTTGGGGCACCACTGGCCTGGCCTCGGTTTGCCAGGAGCCGGGGCTGGCCGGCACTCGAGGATGCCAGCTCTGTTCATTCCCCGATGCCAGCGCTGGCCTGGATGGGCCCCAGGGCTGACCCAGCCTGGCCGCTCTCCCTGTGTCCTTGCAGGGAGCCCTGGCAGCGCGGGGCTTGGAGTCTCTGACCCAGTGAGCGCTGCTGCCAGAGCCTCTGTTTGGCAAACGCACGTGGAGCCCCAGGAACCAGCGTGCTGTCGTGCCCCGAACAAAGATGGCGGACTCAGGGATGACGTGCCCCGAACAAAGATGGCGGACTCAGGGCTCACGGGCCGTCGTGCCCCGAACAAAGATGGCGGACTCAGGGATGTCGTGCCCCGGACAAAAATGGCGTCAGCAGATGACAGATTCCGGTCCGCCGGCCGGGCGGACTCCTGTGACTGTTTCCGGTCACGGTGCGGCGCAGAGGATTGTGGGGTGGGCGGAGGGGGGTGTTTCCGTTGTGGGAGGGAGGCCACCCCTTCCTGGGCTGATGCCGAACGCGGGACTCGGGGAGGCGGGAGCCCCCGGGGGGCCGGAGCGGGGTGAGTGGGGGGGTCTGAGGGGCCGGGCGCTATGGAGTGGGGGGGATCTGAGGGGCTGCGACGCAGAGGGGGGTTGGGGCAGTGT